TTTCAATTTACATCCCCCCCCCCCCCGTCAAACTTTTGTTTGCACCCCCCCCCCCCCCCCGTCAAACTGCAAAAATGCAGCTAAAATGACATTTTAAATTGTATTTACAACCCATTTTGGCGCCCCCTAAGGTCGGCGCCCGGGGACATATGTACCCCCTGCCCCCCCCCCCCCCCCCCATCGCTACGCCTCTGCTGAAACGGTACTAAAAAATCGTGTTTACAGACATCACTGACAAACAGACAAAATTGCAAAACCAAGTTTTTACCGCTCCGGAAGGATGTAAATCGTCAAAGTTTGTCAAAATCTCTATTTAGATTTTATGTAAGATTACAATGCATCCTTTATGTTCAGTAAATGATAAAGTAAGAAGGTGTAAAACGGCGAAAACTGTCAAAATATCTCTTAATTATTCAGCGCGATTACAATACTTCCTCTTTACTCTGTATACGAGAAAGTAAAGATTTTTTAAAATCTGTAACACATTTTTAGAAATATTTCATTTTTAATTTGTTAATATTAAATGTCATCGTTTCTGACTTTCAAAATGTAAAAAAATTACATCGCCTAGCAAAATCTTTGTTAAAAACACACAAAAACCTTTCTTTCCATAGTGACGTCACTACGAGCTTATGAAATGTGGTTAAGGGAAGACAGTTCGTTGTTGCAATATCTTAAACGTTTAATCAACTACCTCCCTTGTTGTGACGTTTGGGCTGTGCGTAGCCTTTAATAGCCTTTAAGAGACTGCAGAGGTCGACACTTGCAATAGGTCGCATTTAGAAGGTTAATTACCGTACTGTAACCTTAATCATTAACCTTAGGGGTCATCCATAGATGACGTCATCCTTTTTTACGATTTTTACCTAACTCCTCCCCACCGTCACACATTGTCACTACAAAAAGCCAGACACCCCCCCCCCCTCTAAAATGACTTCACACATCAGCCTACAACCCCCTTCAAAATAGCAGTTGAATTTTTCTTTAAACATCTATATTTTTTTTTTCTAAAATCTTATCTGAACTCTGTCAACATAGAGTATTTTAATCAATTCCTATTATGATTTATTAGAACAGTTTTCTAAAACGCGATAAAACGACTAAAACTCATTTAATAACATTGTTTTTTATAACCGCAAAAGTGTGACGTCAAACCATCTGAACACCCCCCCCCCCTCCTCATCACACACGGTCACAAAAGTACGGACCCCCCCCCCCTCCCCCTACAAGTGTGACGTCATTTATGCACGACCACTTATAAAGAAAGGCATTGTTAAGTCAAAAAAAATTAAAATTACTTTAATAGTACGTTAAACACATTTTTATACAAATTATTCAGCGTTAACTGGTAACGTTGATCTTATCTTTTATTTCATTTTCTAACATCACTCATACAATTTCACATTTTGAAAACCTTTGTTTCTGGTTAATGTAAATAAATATAAGTTATATTTCTTTGTTATAGATTTGTATTTTTTTAAAAAAAGTATCATAAATAGTAGAATACATTATATTTAAAGCTTCGTGTTTCTTTCAGTCTGGTCAGCTCAGCCGTCAATAAATTAAAACAACACACATTTTGTAAATAATGGTAAATACAATATCGGTTCTAATACTGCGACGCACCTGCCTCACGCTAGGGAAAGTAAAGGCGACTGGGCATTATGATGACCATACTATTCCTTTATATATTCACAGAAACAGATGAACATTTTGATAATTTTAATAAAAGGAAGAGAAGAGTGTTAACATTTTTAGGTATTACTTATGCATTTTTAATCGTTCACTTTTTAAAACTTAATTTAAGCAGATATTGTGCATTTTTGAATACTAAGTAGATATAAAAATTGATATTGAACAATACAACTAACTGGTTCACACACTAGCACACGCTCTGACACCCGTCACCTGACACACCTCACGTGAACACCTCTCGCTCCATGTAAACACATTCAACCAAGGGATACAACTATACACCAAAGGGAGGGTACCTGTCGTTCCAGCACACAACACACACACACACACAAGCAGGGGACATGTAAGGGACGTAACATCCCTCCCCTCCACCTTCAGATCTCTTTTTCTTCAAAGAGATCAAATATTTCTTGTTCCATTAGCCACTGTTGGTGCCCGAGCTCGACTACTTATTCTTTAGTCCTTAGGAAGCCTCGTTTTGACCGTGTGGCGTGTATCCAGCCTGGACAGTTTGATCCAGAGTGTGGCTTGTATCCAGCCTGGACAGTTTGATCCAGAGTGTGGCGTGTATCCAGCCTGGACAGTTTGGTCCAGATTGTGGCTCGCATCCAGCTTGAACAATTCGGTCCTGAGAGTGGACTATGGTTTTTCTCCGGCCGGGCACCAAGCTCGTGGTCTGACTATCTCAACCTATAATGATACATGTGAGAAGCCACAATAAAAAAATTAATCAGCATAATCATTCTATACTGCATCAGTAATACCTTTCTCAAACATTTCTCAATATAATATTATAATGCCCCAATAGTAAATTCCTTAACATAATCATACTATCTCCAACAATAATGAATTTCTCAATATCATATACACTAGTTGTCGTAAAACACTCTTGATAGATTGTTTGCTACAAAGTTCTCAGTTCCCTTGATATGTTTCACAGTACAGGCTAATTCCTGTAGTGCAAGGGCCCATCGGCAGATGCGTACGTCGCCATAGATGGTCATCTTTCCTTAAAGGCGATCAAACTGAGTTCCCTTCTCGATAGCCGTTTTAACTACATTAATCATCTCCAGCCCGTAATCATCATACACAGCTTCTGTAAAAAAAAAACAAAGAAAAATTAACATTGATTGAATAAATTATCTTAACAAAAAAAACTTACCAAGGACACTACCTTTGTAAGGATACGCCTCCAAATTTCGTGCTTTACCTCGCTCTCATATGCGAGTCTTTAAGCCGGGAAAAATTTCCTAACATATCACGCTGAGCTGTGGGACACACCCGTGATATGTGACCAACACCACCGCAGCAATAACACTTGAGATCATCTGACCGTCGATGTACATTTTCAGTACGCCAGTTGCTCGCTCTACTGGTCCCGTTGGGACAGTTTCGTTGTATGTGGCCTGGCTTTCTACAGCTATAACAGGCGCCTGTATCTATATCCATACTGCACTCTTTGGCAATATGACCTTGTTCATTGCATTTGTAGCACCGATAAGGTCTTTTGTTGTTTCCATACTCCACGACAGCTCTTTTCTCTGACCTATTTCTCCAAGTAAAGCCGCTATTACTATTGCTACGACAATCCCTGGCATAGTGTCCATAACGTCCACATGTGAAACATTTACTGCTCAGACTGACCTTCCTAACACCATGCATAGGCTGTACACCAGGGCAAGTGTGGTGTCCTGGAGATCGCGGTGTCTTGTTTTGCCAGGGTATCCTCTCTGCTGTCGAACTAGCAGCGACGTACGGAGGGGTTTGGTTTACTAGCCTCGTCACTCTAGCGTTTTGAGTGCTCTTATAGTTGTCAATAACTTTAAGATTATCTTCCACACTTAACTTAGCAGCACCATTCAGCCTCTCCAACAGATCACATGTGACCACCGATTTTATCCGATCAACTATCAGGAGGTTCACCAAGTCCTCAAACGTTTCCTTTATTCCCGACTGCTGGACCCACGCTCTCAAAGCGGCTGCTGTGTTGACTGCGAAGCTTCTCATGTCGTCGTGTGTTGGTACTAGCTGGTGGAATCTGACCCTATACTTTTCCTCGTTGAAACCTGCGTGCGTGAATAACTTTACCTTTACTGACTCGAAGTCATGATGCAAGTTCAGTCCCGTCTCAACGAGGAAAGTCTTCAGTTGTCCACTCATCTTGTCCGTCAGAAGGAGCGGCCAGTCCTTGGGGTCAATGCCTTGTCTCTTTGCTTGGCTCTCAAAATGCCTCACATACGCACCCAGGTCCTCGTCTACCGTCATCGCCGCCACGTCCCTCAAGCGGGGTACAGGGTTACATACCTTTGCTACAACCTCGACCTTCGCATCTTCTACCCTCCTCAACTCTTCCTTTACCCACTCCGCCAAACTGTCATTGGTCAGCCCGATTAGCTTTCCCTCCTCCTTCAAGTCACTTATTAACTGTCTTCTGGCACTCCTGGTAGTCGCCATGCTAAACGGACGAGCCCCCAAATGTTGGGTTCTAGAATCTAGGGGTATATAAATAACAACAGACAAATACGACGTATACAACAATAACACTAACACTCTATAATAACAATAATAATAAGATATTTAATAATATATACAGTACTAAAATAATAAAAGGATCAAAACAACATAAATACAATACTCAACACCACGTTCCACGTCCACAGCCACACTACAACTAACTGGTTCACACACTAGCACACGCTCTGACACCCGTCACCTGACACACCTCACGTGAACACCTCTCGCTCCATGTAAACACATTCAACCAAGGGATACAACTATACACCAAAGGGAGGGTACCTGTCGTTCCAGCACACAACACACACACACACACACACAAGCAGGGGACATGTAAGGGACGTAACAACCTTGACGTAGCTCAATTACTATTTTTAGAAAGATTGTCACAAATTAGGGAAGTGGTGTAGCTTAAAGTATGACTTTATTTTAATGCGTGGTTTTGACTTTTTTTTAACGATTAATGACAAGTTTGAAGAATATGGTAAAATTAGCACAAAGAACCCGTGCCGTCATTTAACGATTACCATTTAAGAAATCGGTAATATCTATGGGTTTCATTTTGTACTATTAGTAACTACACTTTTTAGTTATAATTAATTAATTTTGGTAGTTCACCAATTTGTATATATATTTTTTTATATTTATAATTCAAAATTGCAGTTCAGATGAGCTTTTTGAAAGCTTTTAAAAAGTTTTTTCCAACCCATGTTGGCGCCCCTAAATTCGGCGCCTAGGAACCTGGAGACATTAGTACCCCCAGCCCCCCCCCCCCCCCCTCCCCTGTCGCTACGCCTCTGGTGTGTCATAATCCAATTACTGATAACTGTGTTAAACATAAGAAACCATACACACATTTATTTTTCATCCAGCATCGACATTATAAAATTAACAAATTCTATACTAAAAAAAAAACCTGACTAATAATATGAAAACATGAGAACAAATCTAAACTCAGCCAATACTGGCCCTGACATACTGTTTAGCCTGTTGGCCAGGCAAGTAAACAAACGTCTTCCTGGCAATATTATCAAACACCAAATCCATACTCCCGCGTCCTTTCAACGCGTTCTGCTTCGCCTGAGTTGTGTTTGTTCTCGGGGCGGGGCGGGGCGAGCAGGGCATGCCCCGGGGCTCATGCATCAGACGACCCATCCTGATCCCAGAGTCCAAAAAAGCATTTCCGGAACCTTCCGGTTTCACCCTCGGGACGGCCCGCGCGCTTAACGGGGCGTGGCCGTACTTGTGAAGTATGTTCCCCATCCGCTTGCCTTTGTTCAGCTCTGCGTTGTCTTCCCCTTCCGGTTTGACACGTGGTTCCGGTGCGCGCGCAGGCGTGTTGAGGCCGTAGTTGTGTAGCGTTTGTTTCATCTGCTCACCGCGGCTCAACTCGGCGATGGGCTCGGCTTCTAATTTTAGACGAGGCACTGCTCGGGCCGACAGTGGCAGCGAGCCGTATTTGTGAAGGAGGTTGTGCATCCTGCCACCCTGGAATCAAATGGAAAACAAATTCCCACATTATTATTCAAATTTTCTTTCAGACATTCTTTCAGGGGGAGGGGGGGGGGGAGGCCCACCCCTCACGAAGCATGTCTACCGCCCCCCAGAACGAAATATAATAATTTATATACAAAATTTGGGGTCGGCGTGGTCGAGTCGGTAAAGCTCATGGTTGCTAAACCGAAAAGTCTCGAGTTCGAACCCTCGGGCAGATGAGGCTCGTTATCTGGGGACAGCCACTCTTCTAGGAGAGACAACTCCAAAATTAAACAACTGCTGCCTTGTAGTTTGTTCTTGGTTGGACAAAGGCTATGGAAGCAAATCTAAAAAGAAAAGCAGGCTGAAATTGGAGTCAATGGCCTCAATGGCGCATAACCAGTTGACACGTAACGCTTAATTGTGTTGGAGGCGTGGTCGAGTCGGCAAAAGCTCATGGTTGATAAATTCGAACAAAGTCTCGAGTTCGAACCCACTGGCAAGATAAATCTCGATCCCCTTCAACACTAATAATTAAGAACGAAGAAGAAGAAGAAGATATACAAAATGAATACATCAACGGGTGTCAAAAGAATTTCTCCCCCCCCCCTGGAGAAAATAGTCTGAACAGAACACACACCTTTTTAATTCATCTCTGGTGTTAAACCTTCGTTTGAACTGCCTAACACCACCCATACAACACGCAATAGTCTGGTAAAGAAGTGAAATTATTGCTCGATGCTAACTAATCAATCCCTACCTTTTTTTTTTTATAAAACGTGGATACAAACAGAATTATTTAAATCATTTCTAGCGCTGAAAACTCGCTTTGCTCAATCGAGTAAGCAATTCAGTTTAATTATATCATCTAGTTTCAAAACCAGCTTTTCTTTTTGGATTTGATTCCAAAGTCTTTGATTATTCAATAACAGACTGCAGGGTAGCAGTTTTTTGTTATAGGAGCATTCTCGAGCTTCCTCTACCCAGAGGTTCGAACTCGAGATTTTTCGGTACAGCAACCATGAGCTCTACCGACTAGACCAGGATGTCCACACTCTGTGCGTGAGTCTTTAGTTTGACTTTCCAAGAGACTGGAGAAAAAATAATCTATCTTTAGGCCTATATATAATTCTCTTCTTGGAGACCATAGAAAACACCAAGCTGTAAGCGCGCTCCCTACCACCCCCACCCCCTCCATGGTCTGGTGAGCTGTGGTTCACGCTAAATGTTTACAATCGTAGAGCCGGGTTTAGTGACGGCTATTAGGGACAGATAATTTATTTTGAAACGATTTTAAATTTAAGGGGGGTAACTAAGAGGAGTTTACTTTCACGGGGGGAGGGGAAAGGGTTGGGGAAAGGAGGGGTGGGGGTTATCGTCCTTAACGAGCTACTGATAGCGTTTTAAAGCAAATATTTTCAGTGGCAGCGTTGGTACTGTCGAATTCACAAATTATGAATTGCTGAAAAGTAGAAAATATAACAACTAAATAGCGGCGTATGATACGCCGCGGGTCGGCTCCTATAATATAATCTGCATGATCCCGCTTGATTATTATTTAATCACAGACATTCATGTTTAGAAGATTAAACATGCAGTTTGGGGTAGGGGTGGAGGAGGTGGAAGAAGTATTGATTGAATACGATAGGAAACATATCTAACTTATTTAGACTTACTTTGACTATATATTATTTCTCTCAACTCCAAAATGTTTTTTTTTGTCCCTAAAACTCAGGGATCCAAAATATCAACAAAGATTTACAAGACCAGTACAATGCTGAAACTTTTATTCCTTAATACATACAGATATTCATGTAACAAGATCAAAACATATATTTTAAGTTTATCCTAAAATATCAAAATGATTTTTATAAAATCACATATTTCGCACATAAATTGTCATGACAATTAATTGTTTAAATAAATATTAAACAGTCTATTATTAAATGTGTTTTGCTTTCACTTTCCTAGAACATTAAGTAGAGTTTTGATTTTTTAAGTGATTATACCTAAAGTTGCATCCCCTTAGCGCATGCTTATTATTCAATGGGAGATCATTACAATTTACTAGTACCAGCAATAGCACAAATGACATTAGGATCTGAAAGATACCGCGACATTTGGTTTTACGACTGTAGATATTTGTCTATAACAGACCTTTCCAGCGATATATAACATAGCCAATTAGATTTTTTTAGCATAACCGTTTCTTCCAAGTGAAAATTTGTAATTTTAGCCTTTCTGTAAAATAAATAAACTGCATGATTTTTTTCTACGTCCCTTAAAAACATAAATATTATTTTTTTTGCAATCAATTTAAAAATTGAAATTATCCATGTATTAGGAACTAAAAATAATATAAATGAAAGAGTAAGTCTTTACTGAAAGCATTTTAAAGTTTCGTTTAACAATTATTACAGTACTGAGCTTATTCTTATATTTACGATCGTTCTAATTCATTCGACACCTCGAAAAACTATTGGACATCTTTGCGATGAAATCTGATCATCTCCTTGCAGAATATGGATACCAACGAGTGTAGTCTCACAATTAGTCGAAGGTCAATTAAAGATTATTAAAATCATGTGCGATTTTATTAAAATAAATGGTATAAAAATCTGACTGTTTTTTGTCGGACGTAAGCCAAACACAATTTGTTTGTTAACAATGTGTCATTTAATATGTCAAGAAACCTGTGGCGTAGCTAACGTAAAGCTAGCGTAAGCAAGGCATAGGGGCCCAAGGGGGGGGGGGGTGCAAATCGAAAGTCTGAGGGGGGTGCAAATCGAAAGTTTGAGGGGGGGTGCAAATCGAAATTCTGAGGGCGAGGGGTGCAAATCGAAAGTCTGAGGGCGGGGGTGCAAATCGAAAGTCTGAGTGGGGGGGTGCAAATCGAAAGTCTGAGGGCGGGGGTGCAAATCGAAAGTCTGAGGGAGGGGGGTGCAAATCGAAAGTTTGTCCTCGGTCGCCGGGAAGGGTCGCTACGCCTCTGAGGAGCCCACTAACACTTTTTGCATAGGGGCCCAAAAATCCTAGCTACGCCACTGCAAGAAACATGGCATAACTAGGCCACGTGATTAAAAAAGTATAATTTTAAAAAAAAAACTTAATCGGCCTAGTTTTTAGTACACATTTTTAGAAAGTAGGGTTTTCAGAATATCAAATCACGGAGTCCCTATACAGCCAATCAATGCTTGTCTTAATAAAGTGAAACTGAAAGTTTTAATTTAGACGGTGAAAATAAATAGAAATTTAGCCTCAACGCTAAAAAAAAAATTCGCTTTTCTGGATCTGCAAATTTTATATCACTGATTCGTAAAATATTAATTTTTTTTTTAACAATGGTTTTTTTTTAAAGCTAAAGTTTTTTCTAGTTATTTTTTTAGCAAAACTGACAAAAACACGATTTTAATATCCATATCTTCTATATATTTAATTCTCTTCATTGGGACCATACGAGACACCACGCAGCTTAGCCACCACCCTCATCCCCCACCTATCAGGTGAATTGTGGTTCACCCCGAATGTTTACAATAGTAGAGCCGGTTCGATTAAGTGACGGCTATTAGGGGATGATAATTTAGTTTGTAAACGATTTGAAACTAAGGGGAGATAATAAGTTCTGCTTGATATTATCACTGTCGTCTGTAAACGGCTGCTTTCACTGGGCGGGGTGGGGTAGTGTCGAATTCACAAATTATGAATTGTTGATAAATAGAAAATAAAACAACTAGATAGCGGCGTATGCTACGTCGCGGGTCAGCTCGTTTATTTTATTTTATTTGCCCTTGATCAGAGGCGTAGCAACCCCTCCCGGCGCTGGGGACAAACTTTCAATTTGGCACTACCCCCCCCCCCCTCCCATATATTTTTTACATTCATAATTCAAAACTGCAGCTTTTAATTTTTTTCCTACCCATTTTGGTGCCCCTAGGGGACAAATGTACCCCCCGTCCGTCCGTCGCTACGCCTCTGCCTTTGATGTCCACAAACTACGTGAAACTTAAATATAAATATTTGCTACCTACTTTTACCACTCTCTGGGAAACACAATGTATAGACTTAATTAAATTTCGTGTAGGGGATGACTGCCTTTATCTGTTTAAAGGTTAGCACAACCACGGGTAGCCTGGCTATGTACTAGAGACCTGAGAAATTGTTAAAGGTGCCCCAAATGCCATTTTAATTTCAATTTTTCAATGTGCGTTTTTTTTTCTCCATCATATGCTCGAATTTACGCCTTGGTTTTAAGAAATGGATACTTTGAAATGGAGAAATATCAACATATTATTTTTTTTAAATACGTAACACTGATAGGATTAATACAGAACCGTTACTCGGGGCACACAGACTTTTTTTTCCTAGGGACACACCGGAATGTTCCCTGTAGACCGGTGAGCCAGTTCATCACTGAGCACTACACAATGTGGATGTCCAAAAAAATTGGCAACACAATGTGGATGTCCAAAGCAGAGGCGTAGCGACCCTTCCCGGCGTCCGGGGACAAACTTTTCGATTTGCGCCCCCCCCACTCGAGATTTTGATTTACACCCCCCCTCAAACTTTCGATTTGCACCCCCCCCCTCAAACTTTCAATTTGCACTCCCCTCAACCTTTCAATTTATTTTTCCAACCCATTTTGGCGCCCCCTAAGCTCGGCGCCCGGGGACATATGTCCCCCCCCCCCGCCCCCCCCCCCCTCGCTACGCTACTGATCCAAAGAATAACCGACTGACAAAAAGCCGAAAATATTTGACTCTAAATATTACGATCTCCAATCACACTGCTTTTACTTTTAGAATTTTAAAATCTCGCCCCACATTTTCTAATAACAGTGGAACAAATTTCTTTGTCATTCTACATGATGAAAGCGATAGTGCTATGCATAAGGGACGGCTGCTGAAGCGTGTGTTAAACTACAACCAACACATCGACATTACGAAGGAACACATTTTCAGTCATGGGTAACTCTCCCCTCCCACGATTGTAGGGAAAAAAGTCACAGGAAAAAA